TGAAACAGTTTTGTGAAGAGGAGTGGTCCAAAATTACTCCAGATCGTTGTGCATGTCTGATCTGCAACTACAGGAAACGTTTGGTTGAGGTTATTGCTGCCAAAGGAGGGTCAACCAGTTATTAAGTCCAAAGGTTCACATACTTTTTCTTCCCTTCACTGTGAATGTTTACATGTTATGTTCAATTAAACCATGGCAACATCTAATGTTTGTGTAGTATTATGTTCAGCAGACTGTGTTCTTCTATTGTTGTGACTTAGATGACGTTCAGAGCACATTTTATGCCCAATTCATGCAAAACTCCACGTAACCCCAAGGGGTTCACATACTTTTTCTTGCAACTGTATATACGTCATTCTGCATTTTGCGGGCAGGGAGTGCGAGCGAGACGCACGCGCGCCCCACCCGCGGCCGTGGATGTCAATCACCAGGTAATTACCTGCTGTCGCCCAGTGATTACCGAGCATCTCTGACGGGGAGGAAGATAGTTTTGATTACAATCTTCCTCCCTTTCAGCTTGGGCACACTGCACAGTACAGCCATTCCCATCAGAGTGCTTACAGTGAAGCACACCGCCCCCTAGTTAAACACTCCCAGCACACAGTTAACCCTTTGATCACTCCTCACATTAACCCCTTCCTGCCCAGTGCCATTAGTACAGTGCCAGTGCTTTTTTTTTTTTAGCACTGATCACTGTATTGGTGTCACTGGGGATGTCAGTGACACCAAGTTAATTTCCCCCCTGTGTCAGAATGTCCGCTGCAGTCCCGCTAAAAGCCGCTGATTGCCGCCATTACTAGTAGAAAAAAAAAATCTATACCGCCATTTGTAAACGCTATAACTTTCACGTAAATAAATAAATTTACACGTATTGGGATTTTTTTTTTAGCAAAGACATGGAGCAGAATACATTTTGGCCTAAATTTATGACAAAATTTTTTTTTTTTTTTAATTTTTTTACCGGACACGTTTAATAGCAAAAAGTCAAAAATATTGGGTTTTTTTCTCAAAATTGTAGGTCTTTTTTTTGCTTATAGCGCAAAAAATAAAAAAAACGCACAGACGATCAAATACCACAGAAAGAAAGCTCAATTCCTGGGAAAAAAATATGTAAATTTCATTTGGGTGCAGCGTTGCATGACCGCGCAATTTTCAGTAAAAGTAACGCAGCGCCGTTACGAAAAAAATGGCCTGGTCAGGAAGGGGGTACATGCTCAGGAGGGCAACGGGGTTAATGCAGGGCGCAGCATGACGCCCTATGTGCTTATATGTGGAATGACAACAATGTATTTACTTTTTTTTTTGCCAATGTTATTATTACATGGTCATGTAATGAACCTCCTCAGACTCCAGATGAAAAGTGGCATTGTCACCCATTGACGGTTTCAGGGGAAATAAATGACAGTACATGTCTTGGGCAGCACAGTGGCTAAATTGGCAGCACAGTGGCTAACTGGTTAGCACTTCCGCCTGGCAGTACACGGGTCGTTGGTTCAAATCCCAGCCATGGCACCTCCTGCCTGCAGTTTGCATTTTCTTCCTCTGCCTGCGTGGGTTTCCTCCGGGTACTCCAGTTTCCTCCCACACTCCAAAGACATGCTGGTAGGTTAATTGGCTCCTGTCTAAATTGTCCCTAGTATGTGTATGTATGAATGTGAGTTAGGGACCTTAGATTGTACGAGGGTTAGGGACCTAAGATTGTACGCCCCTTGAGGGTTAGGGACCTTAGATTGTACGCCCCTTGAGGGTTAGGGACCTTAGATTGTACGCCCCTTGAGGGTTAGGGACCTTAGATTGTACGCCCCTTGAGGGTTAGGGACCTTAGATTGTACGCCCCTTGAGGGTTAGGGACCTTAGATTGTACGCCCCTTGAGGGTTAGGGACCTTAGATTGTACGCCCCTTGAGGGTTAGGGACCTTAGATTGTACGCCCCTTGAGGGTTAGGGACCTTAGATTGTACGCCCCTTGAGGGTTAGGGACCTTAGATTGTACCCCCTTGAGGGTTAGGGACCTTAGATTGTACGCCCCTTGAGGGTTAGGGACCTTAGATTGTACGCCCCTTGAGGGTTAGGAACCTTAGATTGTACGCCCCTTGAGGGTTAGGGGCCTTAGATTGTACGCCCCTTGAGGGTTAGGGACCTTAGATTGTACGCCCCTTAAGGGTTAGGTCCTTAGATTGTACACCCCTTTGAGGGTTAGGGACCTTAGATTGTACGCCCCTTGAGGGTTAGGGACATTAGATTGTACGCCCCTTGAGGGTTAGGGACTGATGTGAATGTACAATATATATGTAAAGTGCTGCGTAAATTGGCGGCGCTATATAAGTACCTGAAATAAATAAAATAATAAATAATTAAAGCTGAACTCCAGATATGATCTTGATTGCATCGTTACATTGGTCCAGGCTGGCACAGTGTAAGTATGCATTACTTGTACCTGACGGACTGCTGGGGAAGCTAAAAATCGCTGTAGTAGTCAGCACTACTACAGTCATAGGCATGCACATGGGGTGTGCCGGAGGTGCCTGGGCACACCCTAATTGCCCAGTGCGCTTTAAAATCAGGCTGGTAAAAGGAGGACAGCACTCCAGGTTTTGGGCTCAGCCGGCTCAGTCCTCAGGGCAGCAGTGTGCAGCCTCCACCTCCGATAATAGGCATCCTAGGAAAAGCAGCAGCAAATGCCCGGCTACACACAAAGCCTCCACACCGATGCCTCCATTCGGCCTGTCTCCTTCTCTCTCTACTGGAAGACAACCAATGAGAGCATGGGGACAGCGACTTTAATATATGCAACGCATTCTCTGATTGGACGAGGTGGAGATCAAGGTGGCAGCACCACCCCCTCCTCCCCACCTCGATCAATCAGAGAATGCCTTGCATTAAAAAATAAATAAATAAATGCATTCAAGGTGTTCTGTGAATGGGGCAGTGCTGAGCAAGCAACCAAGTGGTCAGTGTGCAGATTACAGGAGTAGCGCTGACTACTACAGCGATTTTCAGTGGCCCATCAGGTGTGAGATTGTGCCAAGCTGGAACTATGCAAGTATGCAATACAGATCATTCCTAGAGTTCAGATAAGGACTGCACGCTTTGACTTTCCTGGTCCGCGCATTTGTCCTTGAACTGTAACCAGTGCAGTGACTGTCCTCAGGCGATACACAGAGATGAAGCAAATCCTTCTACATAAGATGTACCTGTTTATCTGCAATCTTTTCTTCTCTACATCTGATCAGCCTGCTGAATTTAGAAAGCTTTTCTAGAGGTCAGAAAAAAGGGGGTGGGGAGCTGAAGTTACAACCCACAGTGAGGAGAGCTCTGAGAGAACTGATTGGAGGGAGGAGACACCCCCCCCCCCCCCTTCACATAGCTCACAGGTACAGAGCTGAGGCTGTCAATCTGCTGGAGGTCCCTCACTCCCGCAGGGGCAGACTGACAACTCATGGGGCCCCCGGGCAATAAGGGATCATGGGGCCCTGTGTCGTCACCCACACCCAAAAAAGCCTATGAAAGGTACTAGGGGCATCTCATGGGGCCCCCTATTGACCCAGTGCCCAAGTGCCCAAATGGTCAGTCCACCCCTGCTCTCCCATCACCATTTTTTCCTTGGTGTCAGGAAAACTTGTCAGAAGTGACTCATGCTGACAGCAGAGGAAGGAGATAGCAGACAGAAATGACACTTAGTGCTCTGGATTGAGACAAGTACACACTATACAGGGATATGCTTTATTCATCTCTCATGTCTTAGGTTTACAACCACTTTAAAAGCCAGAAAACTGCCATTTGCACGGAGAGGTCGGAAAAGCAGGCCCCAGATTTCTCCAGGTAAATTTTTACATAAAAAAATGTACATTATTTTCTCATGTCTCTTTCTTAGCCATCTGTGGTACAACACTGCAGCCATCATTGTATTCCCGCTAATGCCCAGACTAGGACAATCCACATAGGACAGAAAATTCGGTAGCCTACAGCAAGTATTTTACTGATATTAAAGTAGACAAGTCCTTCAGCTATTTTTTTTCTTTTTTTTTAATGGAAAAAATTTTGAATTTCACAGAATGTTGTATGTGGATTTATAGTGCATGAGACTGGAAACAGCATAAAAACATAAAAATGAAAAAATACATGAAGGGTTGAATTAGGCGAGTAGGATCTCTCATTGGGTATGGGACAAAGCCATTGGATATTTGACTGCATTTGCTCTGGGGTTTACAGCAATCTAAAAGCATGCAGCAATACAAAATACAATATGGTAATATAAGGGGATCTAAAGCTACAAAATATCCAGTTTGTGGCCCTTGATGAGGGAGGATTTCAATTCAATTCCCATACTAGAGGCACAAAAGCAGGGCGAGAAGAAATCTCTCCCAATGGGGAAATCCACTCTTAGCAGTCATTGGAACAGTTGTCAACATTAGAAGATTTCCCCTCGACTCCTATTCTGGTGACCACTCTAAAATTGCAGATGTTCCATCATTTGACAATGGTCACCAAAAGACCTAGAGGGAGCAATTATTCTCAGCTAAAAACCTAAAGTGGGGGCTAACGCCCCCCCCAAAAAAGTCTGTCAATAAACTTTAATATTGCAGCTACAATGTAAAAAGGAAATAAAAATAAAACACATTAAAAGGAGCTCAATAAAATGTATGAAAGAAGCTAAAAAAAAGGAACTAAAATTTTATGAATTTATTTTTTAATTGTTACATTTTTTCTTATAATTTGTTTTATGTTTACTAAAATTTGTTTGTTAAAATCGTTTATGTCAGTCAAAGGATTTGGGCAACTGTCTTGGTTAATGGATCATGAGATCTATATTAACTATGACATTTCCAGTTCAGTTTTTTACATGCTATGTCCAGGCCACCATATAAAACATCATATAAAAGAATAAATACATTCTAGAAGTAACATATTGGTTGGAAAAAACACGAACGTCTAAAAGGCATATGAAAAATCCTTCATAAATAATAAAGAAGCCCAAATTCCCATCTCCCAACATCTGACCTGAATGTTAGTCCAGATTTGCTCTTCAGGTTCCGAAGAAGATCCAGTTGGTTTAATGGTGGGATCAACCTAAGGAGAGATGGTAGATACCAGGAGTCATCAAATGATAATGTTCAATGATCTTGTACTGATCCAAACTAATCTATGGCCGCTATCCTTGATTTTTCTATTCCCTAAGGCCCCGTCTCTAAGCATAGTTAAATTCAAACTAGTTTTGGGTTATAAGATGGATACATAAACAGAAGTGGTTTTGAGTTTGGAAATTGGACACAAAAACAGAGCTGGTTTTGGGTTTGGAAGTTGGATACAAAACCAGAACTGGTTTTGGGTTTGGAATTTAGATACAAAAACAGAACTGCTTTTGAGTTTGGAAATCGGACACAAAAACAGAGCTGGTTTTAGGTTTGATGGTTGGATACAAAAACAGAAACTGGTTTTGAGTTTGGAGGTTAGACACAAAATTTGACCTAAATGAGGTTGACCAAAGTGTTGCCATTTTTGTTCCAAGCAAAGCTGTGGTGGAATATATTCGTGGCGTTGGTGCAACCTTTCCTTTAGGAAAAAAGGAAATGTCATTTAGAAAGGGGTTATACTAGAACCAGCAGGCCACAAACACAAGCAGAGGACAAGGTTAATTACAACACGACCACAAAAAACATCTCATACCCAACGAGCAATACGGGGAAACGACAAGATCAAGCAACATTAAGTTGTGTTTTCAGCATGAAAAAGTGACTGTGTTAGACATCCTGGATCTAAGCAAAGCCATTAGTCGAAAGCCAAATAGGTAGAATTCTTGCAGTTCAACTCAAAGTGGCAACTCCCAAGCACCCATAGTCTTTCAAAGCGGCCAATTTGTCAGTGAACCCATATCCCAAAAGAAGCAGGCCATCAATTTAGGAGGAACCAGCTCAACGTCTATGGTTCCTTGTGAACTGATAGGCTGCATTTCCTGAAAAATGTGTCTTCAATGGCCTATAGGCAACAATGCTGCATTTCACCTCAAAGTGGCAACCCCCAAGCACCCATAGTCTTTCAAAGTGGCCAGTTTGTCCGTGAACCCATATCCCAAAGAAAGCAGACCATCAATTTAGGAGGAACCAGCTCAACATCTATGGTTCCTTGTGAACGGATAGGCTACATTTTCTGAAATTTGTCTTCAATGGCCAATAGGCAGCATTGTTGCATTTCACGCCAAAGTGGCAACTCCCAAGCACCCATAGTCTTTCAAAGCAGCCAAATTGTCAGTGAACCCATATCCCAAAATAAGCAGGCCATCAATTTAGGAGGAACCAGCTCAATGTCTATGGTTCCTCGTGAACTGATAGGCTACGTTTTCTGAAATTTGTCTTCAATGGCCAATAGGCAGCATTGTTGCATTTCACTTCAAAGTGGCAACCCCCAAGCACCCATAGTCTTTCAAAGCGGCCAACTTGTCAGTGAACCCATGTCCAAAGAAAACAGACCATCAATTTAGGAGGAACCAGCTCAACATCTATGGTTCCTTGTGAACGGATAGGCTACATTTTCTGAAATTTGTCTTCAATGGCCAATAGGCAGCATTGTTGCATTTCACGCCAAAGTGGCAACTCCCAAGCACCCATAGTCTTTCAAAGCAGCCAAATTGTCAGTGAACCCATATCCCAAAATAAGCAGGCCATCAATTTAGGAGGAACCAGCTCAATGTCTATGGTTCCTCGTGAACTGATAGGCTACGTTTTCTGAAATTTGTCTTCAATGGCCAATAGGCAGCATTGTTGCATTTCACTTCAAAGTGGCAACCCCCAAGCACCCATAGTCTTTCAAAGCGGCCAACTTGTCAGTGAACCCATGTCCCAAAGAAAAAAACAGACCATCAATTTAGGAGGAACCAGCTCAATGTCTATGGTTCTTTGTGGACTGATAGGCTGCATTTTCTGAAATTTGTCTTCAATGGCCTATAGGCAGCATTGTTGCATTTCACCTCAAAGTGGCAACTCCCAAGCACCCATAGTCTTTCAAAGTGGCCAACTTGTCAGTGAACCCATATCCCAAAGAAAGCAGACCACCAATTTAGGAGGAACCAGCTCAATGTCTATGGTCCCTGGTGAATTGATCGTGGTGCATTTTCCAAAATTTTTCTTCAATGGCCGCCTCCACTCATCTAACTTAAGCGTTTTTTTTTCCTCTTTCTAGTGAAGCTAAAACCAGGACTTTCTATTCTGAAACATGTGCAGGGTGATGTTGAGTGGACACCAGTGGATACAAACTCTCACATTCATTTGCACACAGCATCAGCACAAAATGGTCACGGTGGTTTCACAATCCCTGAGTGTACACAACACCACAACTGGGATGGCAGACCAACAGCACAATGCTAAGAGAAGGGAGGGTGGAAGACACTACAGTGCACATATAAGTGTGCCATACCTGGACGCACCGTACGTTTGAGAGCTGCTCGCCAAAATACAAAATTGGGTGGGAGGAAAAAAAAAAAAAAAAAAAAAAAAAAGGTAGAGGGGGGGGGGGGGGGGGGGGGAAAGAGCAAAAAAAAAAAAAAGTCAGGAATTATATGGAAGTGCTCAAATTAATTGTGAGGGTCAAGCATGCCACGGAAACTGTAATGCTGAGTGTCCAGAGATTCAAGTCAAGACTTCAAAAACATTGCACAATTATTACTGGACCCATAAAATGGATATTTTTTTTTTTTTTGCAATACCTACTCTAAGCAGACAGGCAGAGCTGCCATTATATAATCAATAAATAGGAATGTGTCTGCAAGAGCAAGGACACACACCCTATAGGAAATCTCCGTAGTAAACAAGAACATATAGCGCCCTCTAGGAGGCAAAAAGAATGTACTACACGCTACAAATAAAACACACCTTTCTAAAATAACGTCGATGGGTTGGTTGTGAGATGGTTAATCACTACCAGAGAACTGGTCGACACACACACACGCACGCACGCACGCACGTACCCTGTCGCTTGGAGGAAAGTTACCTAGTGTCCACGGTGATCTGAGCCGTCTTCACAGGCTGATATGAGGCAACAACACATTACGAGCAATGGGAGGGGGGGTGAAGGGGGTTGAATGAAAAGAACGGAAAATAAAAAAAAGGGGTAAACAACAAAAACAAAAAAGTATAAAAATTAATGCAATAATAACAAGGAAGTCAAACATGGAATTCAAATTAAAAAAAAAAAAAAAAAAAAATCAAACTGAAAATTCTCGATCAACGAAGGAAGAAAGATGGTCGGGTGGAGAATGGAAGTGAGGGAAGTGATGGAGGGAGGTGATGGGACACGTGACTTCTCAGCAGGTACCTGTACATGGGCACCGCCACGCTGCGCTCATAGTAGTGCCAGGTGGAATGCAGGTCCATGCGTGACAGATTGGTGGCATAAAATCTCCAGGAGGCCTAAAAGAAGTCAACAGAGTTGAAGGATTTGTAACTAGTACTATTGACCCCAAGAAAAGCCAAAAAAAAAAAAAAAATACACCTAAGAATATAATCCATTCATTTAAAGAGTTATCACCTAACAGATCATTTAAAAAGGTTCAAGAAAATAATTTCTGACCTGAGGTCTACTTGAAAGCTGGTCTCCAGTCACATATTACTTCATTTCTGTGTTCAATACTACATCAATGCTAGCAATTTAAATACCCAATTACGAAGAATCTGTCTTTTGTAGTCCCAGTATAGCAGAGCTCAGACAGGGGCAGGGAGAAGCAGCACAAGGTGCCAATTGGCTGTGCAAGCGGAACGCTGATAGGAGGAGAGAGCAGAGTGACAGAGAGAAGAGCTCATCAATCTGCTGCTTCTCCATCACTGTCTGGGGTTCAGTTCAGGAACTGAGGACGAACTTTCCTTCAACATAACACATTTTCTAATATTTGTATTGGTTTTGGCTTCCAAAGCTGATAAATAAACAACAGTGGAAAGTAACAAAGGCAGATGTTACCGACCAGCTTGGAGCGCATCTAAAAGAAAACAATTCATGGTGCAATTCAGAAAAACACAAAGTCTGGGTTTTCTTCCCCCCCCCCGGCATCGGAGGAGCAGAGAATGCCGAGGAGACAGAAGACAGCTCTGATCACATGCTCCTGGCTGGTATACGGGAAGCCAAAATACTGACTGCATAGGCTTTGTATCAAGAAAATTCGTTCAGCTCATATGTTCCCTGCAAAAAAAAATAAATTGCACTAGACCCACGACTCCTGAAGGTGGCGCTGCTTTACAGTGGAATCTGCAGGGTGACTACATATAGAACAAAACAGATCACAAAGAGAGAGAGGAAAAGGGAGAAAGAGAGAGGAGAAGAGGGGAGATGGAGGCAGGAAACAGAGGATGGGGGGGGGTCAAACGGGAGAGGGAGAAAGAGAGAAGGAGATCAAGATAGGAGAGAGGAGAAGGAAAGAGAGTGGGGAGAGAGAGAGAGAGAGGAGAAGGAAAGAGAGAGACAAAGAAAGGGGGGGGAGGGGGAGAGAGAGGAGAGAGAGGGGAGAGAGAGGGGGGAAAAAGGGGGTGGGGGAGAGGAGAAGAGGGAGATGGAGGCAGGAAACAGAGGATGGGGGGGTCAAACGGGAGAGGGAGAAAGAGAAAAGGAGATCAAGATAGGAGAGAGGAGAAGGAAAGAGAGAGGGGAGAGAGAGAGAGAGAGAGAGAGAGGGAGAGAGACAAAGAAAGGGGGGGGGAGAGAGAGTAGAAAGGGGGGGGGGAAGAGCGAGAGTAGAGAGGGAGAGAGAGGGGGGAAAGAGGGGGTGGGAGAGGAGAAGAGGGAGATGGAGGCAGGAAACCGAGGATGGGGGGTCAAACGGGAGAGGGAGAAAGAGAGGAGGAGATCAAGATAGGAGTGAGAGAGGAGAAGGAAAGAGAGGGGGAGAGAGAGAGGAGAAGGAAAGAGAAGGAGAGAGGGGGGGGGGGGTGGAGAGAGAGAGGAGAGAGGGTGGGTGGAGAGAGAGGGGGGGAGAGAGAAGAGAAGGAAGAGAGGAGAAAGAGAGAGAGAGAGGGGGGGGGAGGGGGGGGGGGAAAGAGATGGGAGAGAGGGGGAGGAGAGGAGAGAGAGAAGAGGGAAAGAGAGAAGGAGATCAAGATAGGAGAGAGAGAGAGAGGAGAAGGATATCGAGATATGAGAGAGAGGAGAAGGAAAGAGAGATAGAGGGGGGGGAGAGGGGAGAGAGAGAGAGACGAGAAAAGAAGAGAGAAGAGAAGGAAAGAGGGAGGGGGGAGAGAGAGAGGGGGGAGAGAGGGAGGGAGAGAAGGGGGGAGAGGGAGAGAGAGAGAAGGAGATCAAGATAAGGAGAGAGAGGAGAAGAAAAGAGAGGAGAGAGATTAGAAGGAAAGAGAGGAGAGAGATTAGAAGGAAAGAGAGGAGAAGGAGAGGAGAGAGATTAGAAGGAAAGAGAGGAGAGAGATTAGAAGGAAGAGAGGAGAGAGAGGAGAGAGATTAGAAGGAAAGAGAGGAGAGGAAAGAGAGAGAGAGATTAGAAGGAAAGAGAGGAGAGAGATTAGAAGGAAAGAGAGGAGAGAGATTATAAGGAAAGGGGAGAGAGATTAGAAGGAAAGAGAGGAGAAGGAGAGCGAGAGAGAAAAGGAAAGAGAGAGGAGAGAAGGTGAGTGAGAGAAGAGAGAAGGTGAGTGAGAGAAGAGAGAAGAGAGAAGGCGAGCGAGAGAAGAGAGAAGGCGAGCGAAAGAAGAGAGAAGGCGAGCGAGAGAAGAGAGAAGGCGAGCGAGAGAAGAGAGAAGGCGAGCGAGAGAGAGGAGGAAAACGACAGAGGAGAGAGAAAGGAGAGTGAGAGAGAAAGAGGAGAAGAAAGAGAGAAGGAAAGAGTAAAATGTGAGTAAGAGAGGAGGGAGCGGGGAAGGAGAGCGAGGAAGTATAGAGTGGAAAAGGAGAGAGAAAGGAGAAGGGGAGGGAGAAAAATTGTGTGTGGGGGGCAGTGGTGAGAAAGGGGAGAAAAAGAGAGAAGGTGAAGGCAGTAAAGATTTGGGGGGGGGGGGGTTAGAGCAGAGAGTGAAGGAGGGTGGAGGGAACGAGGAAGGAGGGGGGGGAGAGGGAGAATTTCCTGATAACATCCCAGGATTAATTCCTTCCACACACACCCCCCCCCCACTCCCACCCATAGTAATTATACAATTGTTCTGGCAATGCTAAAATCAGCTTGTCTGAATGTGAGAGAAGACAATAGAAGAGATACAAAAAATGAGATAAAATACGAAGAAACAGAAGAGGAAAGATCTGGTGAGGATGATCATTCTCTGGGCCACAGATTGCAGACATGTCTCTGATTATTCTCTCACTGACTATGTGCCCGGGAAGGACTCTATGAATGGTGCGGAGTACACACGCAGGATGTAGGTTGTCTGTATTTGTAACTTTGCTAAATTGGAAAGATGACATTTTTTATTTTTCCCTTAACAGAGGTGGAACCTGGTGTGAGTACAAAGCAGAGAGGTGTCATCTGAAGTAGAGAGCCCACAGTGGTCTGTATAGAGATAACCAAAAACCTTTTCACATTACCTGGGCTCAGCATTTTCAGCATGTCCCAAGTGTTAGTGTGTCATTGTTCTGGGACCCCCCAAGTGTCAGTGTATCATTGTTCTGGGACCCCCAAGTGTCAGTGTGTCATTCTTCTGGGACCCCCAAGTGTCAGATGTCATTGTTCTGGGACCCCCAAGTGTCAGTGTGTCATTGTTCTGGGACCCTCAAGTGTCAGATGTCATTGTTCTGGGATCCCAAGTGTCAGTGTGTCATTGTTGAGGGACCCCCAAGTGTCAGTGTGTCATTGTTCTGGGACCCCTAAGTGTCAGTGTGTCATTGTTCTGGGACCCCCAAGTGTCAGTGTGTCATTGTTCTGGGACCCCCAAGTGTCAGTGTGTCATTGTTCTGGGACCCCCAAGTGCCAGTGTGTCATTGTTCTGGGACCCCCAAGTGCCAGTGTGTCATTGTTCTGGGACCCCCCAAGTGTCAGTGTGTCATTGTTCTGGGACCCCCAAGTGTCAGCGTGTCATTGTTCTGGGACCCAAAGTGTCAGTGTGTCATTGTTCTGGGTCCCAAAGTGTCAGTGTGTCATTGTTCTGGGTCCCCCAAGTGTCACTGTATCATTGTTCTGGGACCCCCAAGTGTCAGATGTCATTGTTGTGGACCCCCAAGTGTCAGTGTGTCATTGTTGTGAACCCCCAAGTGTCAGTGTGTCATTGTTGAGGGACCCCAAGTGTCAGTGTGACATTGTTCTTGAACCCCCCCAAGTGTCAGAGTATCATTGTTCTGGGACCCCCAAGGGTCAGTATGTCATTGTTCTGGGACCCCCAAGGGTCAGTATGTCATTGGTCCGGACCCCTAAGGGTCAGTGTATCATTGTTCTGGGACCCCAAGGGTCCGTATGTCATTGTTCTGGACCCCCAAGTGTCAATGTGTCATTGTTCAAGACCCCAAGGGTCAGTATGTCATTGTTCCGGACCCTAAGTGTCAGTGTGTCATTGTTCTGGGACCCCCCAAGTGTCAGTGTGTCATTGTTCTGGGACCCCCCAAGTGTCAGTGTGTCATTGTTCTTGGATTCATGTATTTGAGTTTCCCTGTTCCTGGATTCTATGTTCCAGTATTTACGTGTCTTCGCACCCCTAGGTCACCATGTGCATGGATTTTGATGAGGTTACAGAAATGGTTTTATTACACGATATCGCGGAGCTGCAGTGTCATCAGCTATTTTGGTTTATGAGTCTGGCTATGATTACTAAGAAGCCTGCATTGACTTCATCTCTTCATCTGTGCCTCCTGCCTGCCTGTAATAATATATGACAGCAGCTGTGTCCCCCCCCCCCCAGGCACCACTCCCAACTGACCATCATAGGGGGACTCAACTTTCTTTATGGACTGTTGTATCAACCTATATAAGAAACAAATCTCACTTCCAGTGACCCCGATAATGAATCTGAGTGCTAGCTGACCGGGAACAAGAAAAATTAGCCTTAGAAGCATCGGGGTCAGCCCGTCGGGAACAGAGTCGGGGGTCAGCCCGTCGGGGACATAGTCGGGGCCAGCCCGTCGGGGACAGAGTCGGGGGTCGGCCCGTCGGGGACACAGTCAGGGGCCAGCCCGTCGGGGACAGAGTCAGGGGACAGAGCCGTGGCCAGCCCGTCGGGGACACAGTGTCGGGGTCAGCCCGTCGGGACAGTGTCGGGGCCAGCCCGTCGGGAAAACAGAGTCAGCCCGTCGGGACAGAGTCAGGGGAGTCGGGGGGACAGTCGGGGTCCCCCGTCGGGGACAGAGTCGGGGTCAGCCCGTCGGGGACAGAGTCGGGGGTCGGCCCGTCGGGGACAGAGTCGGGGTCAGCCCGTCGGGGGACAGAGTCGGGGGTCAGCCCGTTGGGGACAGAGTCGGGGTCAGCCCGTCGGGGACAGAGTCGGGGTCAGCCCATCAGGGACAGCGCCGGGGTCAGTCCTGCAGCAGGTTCTATACATTGTACAGATATGCAACGTTGCAGGTAGCTTAAACCTTTTAGCGCCGGCGCCTCCCGGCCCTTTAAGAGGTTTCAGAAGCCAGGAGGTGGGCAGGGTTTTAGGGTCATGTGACCGCCGTGATTCGGAAAAAGTCCCGATCGATAGAGGAGATCGGGACTTTTCTGTGAGTCACGGACATATGTGCTGGGAGCATGCAGGGCGCGCGGACTCAGCACATATGTATTTTCTAATGGCACGCAAATATGCAGCCACTCGGCGTCAAGGCCCAGACGCCAAATATTTGCGTGCGCTTGGTGTCAAGGGGTTAAGGGGACCCCCCCAGTCATGATATTTAAAGGAATTTTTTGTGTCTTTTTTCTTTTTACTTTAAAGTGGAGTTCTAGCTGAAAAAAAAAAAATCAGCAGCTACAAAAACTGTAGCTGCTGACTCTTATAATACAGACACTTACCTGTCCCTCGGTCCAGCGGTGTCCTCACCACGGCTGGTTTCACTGGCAGTCTTCTCTCCCTGGCACCACCATCTTTAGTGTGGGCACCCGGCTGTGTCAGCATGCAGCTTCACAGCCGGGTGTCCACTGCACATGCGTGAGAAGTGCTGCGCTTTGTGAATGGGCCCGTAGTCTTCTGGGACCTGTCACGATTGCAGCGGAATTGGGAGTAGGTACATGTCAAATTTGGGTAGCCACTGCCCAAAGGTGCCAATCCTTAATGGGGAGTGGGGGACAATGCATTAAAGAGGAACTTCCCCTTTCGGGTGGAACTTTAAACAATGAAAAATGACTGCTCCTTTAAAAACGGTACTTTTTTAAAAATTCCTTTTCATTGATTCCTGTCCCTCAGGTCAGTCCCTGAGTCCCCCATACCCCTTTTGAAGCCAATAACTTGCATATAAGCCTTCAAAATGGGCACTTTTGAATTTACAAATTTGAAGTTCGCGGTCGAACTCTTGTTAGGTTTGAATGTTCCACCTCGAACCAACCAGGGGGTGTTCAGCCCAATCGCTAGTCAGGGACGGCATTGGGGGTCAGCCCATCAGGAACAGATCATTAGGGACCATGCTGAGGTCAGTCTGTTCTTAGGGACACCTTAGAAGTCCACCTGGAGAAATTTCAGGGTAACTTTGGCTGCTCTATTCTCTACTTTCATTGGGCTCAATTCATAAGACTTTCAAACCAGGAAAAGGATTTTATTTTCAAAAAAAAGTGACAGTTATTTTCAGCTGAGCCCAATGAGATTTGAAGACCACAGTCACATGGCCTGAAGAACCATCCTTATCCTTGTGATAAAGCTATAAAAAAGACTGAATATGAAAAGTAGAAATTCTGGCCCATCACACCAAATGGATGTTTGTGACATTTATCGGATTTCATAATCCAGCCCATTCTAGCCTATCATCTGTGCTCTCACCTTTCCCCAAAATACCCCAGGTGCCATCTGTTCCAAACATCTGCTCCCCCTATGACGTCTGCCGTATGGCGAGAATAGGCGATATGTACGGCACAGGTGAATGCGTCTCCTAGATACAGGTCCCAGCGGAGGAGGAGAACGAGAACGTCACCTACCTGAATCAGGCCGGCTGCGGGGTTCCGCCTTTTCTCAAAGTGCTTCTGTCGGTGTTGTTCTTGGACTTTCAAAGCAAAGCCAGACCCCAGGATGCCCTGCAAGAAAACAGATCACTGCCGCATCTCCCCACTGCTCATGGTATTCTATATACAACGCCATTACATCCCGCCACTTTATTTAATATTTAAGTCATTTTTTTATTTTTTTAATAAAGTCTTTTAATAAAGTCTTTTTTTTATTTTTTGTTTTTAATAAAGTCATTTTTTTATTTTTGTTTTTAATAAAGTGCTTTTTTTATTTTTGCTTTTAATAAAGTCTTTTTTTTTATATTTTTGCTTTTAATAAAGTCATTTTTTTCATTTTTGTTTTTAATAAAGTCATTTTTTCATTTTTGCTTTTAATAAAAATGACTTGTCAAAGACTGTCTTCTGTCATTTTTTACACTACACTTTTTTTTGTGAATGAGTAGTGGTACCATGCACCGCATACTCATTTACAGGGAGGTGGGGGCTAGGATCTGGGGGTCCCCTTGTTAAAGAGGGCTTCCAGAATCCAATATGCCTCCCTGACCGCAGACCCCCAACAACCTCCGTCCATGTAGTCCGCCTCTGCCCCAAAGCATTTTTTCATTTTATACTTTATAAAAAACAAAAATAAAAAAATGACTTTATAAAAAACAAAAATGAAAAAATGACTTTATTAAAAGCAGAAATAAAAAAATGACTTTATTAAAAACAAAAATAAAAAAAAAATGACTTGATTAAAAACAGAAATTTTGACTTTATTTTAAAAAAAATGTTTTTTAAAAAGTCATTTTTTTATTTTTGTTTTTAATAAAGTCATTTTTTTATTTTTGTTTTTAATAAAGTCATTTTTTTATTTTTGTTTTTAATAAAGTCATTTTTTCATTTTTGTTTTTTATCAAGTCATTTTTTTTCATTTTTGTTTTTTTAATAAAGTCATTTTTTTTTTTCATTTTTGTTTTTAATAAAGTCATTTTTTCATTTTTGTTTTTAATAAAGTCATTTTTTTATTTTTGTTTTTAATAAAGTCATTTTTTTTATTTTTGCTTTTAATAAAGTCATTTTTTCATTTTTGTTTTTTATAAAGTCATTTTTTTATTTTTGCTTTTAATAAAGTCATTTTTTCATTTTTGTTTTTAATAAAGTCATTTTTTTATTTTTGCTTTTAATAAAATGACTTGTCAAAGACTGTCTTCTGTCATTTTTTACACTACACTTTTTTTTGTGAATGAGTAGTGGTACCATGCACCCCATACTCATTTACAGGGAGGTGGGGGCTAGGATCTGGGGGTCCCCTTGTTAAAGAGGGCTTCCAGATTCCAATATGCCTCCCTGACCGCAGACCCCCAACAACCTCCGTCCATGTAGTCCGCCTCTGCCCCAAAGCACCTCCATGTTGAGGGCATGTGGCCTGGTATGGTTCAGGTGGTATAGTTTTAGTTTGCTCATCCCCCCCCCCCCCCTTTCGGGACCTGCCAGTCTGAAGGCTAGGATTAGGGTCTGGTATGGATTTTGAGGGGGGAACCCCATGTTGTTTTTCTGCTTATTTTAATAATTGCCAACAATTCTTTTTTTTTTTTTTTTTAATTCAGCTGTCAGCGGGGAACCCCACTTTGACAGCTGATACATTACTGCATGTTTTTCACTACTAAAATACCGCATGACCTAATAAAATCACGCATGCGGTATTTTCTTAGTTTTTTTTTGTGAAAGCCAACTTTTTTTTGCTGTGCTCTGTAAAATATCGCCTAGTGAAATGTCTCCTGGGTTCGAAGTTCACGGTCGAACTTTTGTCAGGTTCCAATGTTCGACCAAGAACCGAACGGGGGGTGTCCGGCCCATCACTACCCTGGAGCCGGTCCTGGCGCAGTGCTGCCATTCGACTCCATGACACTTTTTCAGCAATGTGCCCCTTGTGAAATTAGCTGGTTAAGAAAGTCAAAAAAGCCGGACCTTTGAAAGTGTTGCTTCCATTTGAAGTTGGGGCTAGCCAATGACAGGAGTTTAAAGGCAGCCTACCTTCCCCTTATTGGGCACAGGGAATTTTCAGCATGCAGGACAGTTTTCCCATACACATGCTCTGAGTCTTCCCTTTTCCATACAGAAAAACCTTGCACATTCGCAGTATCACATTGCGACCGAAGGAGGTGTGCCGCACTGCAGTGAATACGGGCTGCCCTGTAACCCGGGGTGGGGGGTGAAATCTGCCATCAGTGGGCACCTCATTCCCAGAACCGCACAGGAGACTTACGGCCGGCAGCGCAAAGAAGGAGACTCCTATCAGCGTGAAGGTGGCTGCCAGCAGACGGCCATTCCAGGTGGTTGGATACTTGTCACCGTAGCCAATGGTGGTCAATGTGATCTACAGAAACAGGACAACAGACTGAAGTCAAAGAAAAAAAAAGATACAATATAAAATGTATAGAACATAATAAATAAAAAATGTTTCCAATGGAGGTGCCGATAGAAACTGGTTTTTAGCCCTGATAAAGGGGGGAACGCCCCCCGAAACACGTCGGCTGTTGCAAAATAAAAATCTAGAAAAGCTGGTGGGACACTCCCATCCTTTCAAAACTCTAGTGAACTCCTTTGGGGGTCCGGCAAGACCCCACAATTGCTAGTGAGCAGCCTCTTGGACCATAGACTACCCACTGTGTTCTAATGCATCTCCTACATCCCAATGAGAAGAGTGGAAGGAAACACCCGGAGTGGAAGGAAACACCCAGGTGGTTGGGTCACCGTAGCCAATGGTGGTCAATGTGATCTACAGAAACAGGACAACAGACTGAAGTCAAAGAAAAAAAAAAGATACAATATAAAATGTATAGAACGTAATAAATAAAAAATGTTTCCAATGGAGGTGCCGATAGAAACTGGTTTTTAGCCCTGATAAAGGGGGGAGCGCCCCCCGAAACACGTTGACTGTTGCAAAATATAAATCTATAAAAGCTGGTGGGACACTCCCATCCTTTCAAAACTCTAGTCAACTCCTCTGGGGGTCCAGCAAGATCCCACAATTGCTAGTGAGCAGCCTCTTGGACCATAGACCACCCACTGTGTTCTAATCCATCTCCTACATCCCAATGAGAAGAGTGGAAGGAAACACCCAGGTGGCTGGATACTTGTCACCATAGCCAATGGTGGTCAATGTGATCAACAGAGACAGGACAACAGACTGAAATCAAAGAAAAAAAAAAGACAATATAAAATGTATAGAAGGTAATAAATACATTTTTTTCCAATGGAGGTGCTGATATAAACTGGTTTTTTTTAGCCCTGATGAAGGGGGGGGGTGCCCCCAAAATACGTCAGCAAAATATGAATCTATAAAAGCTGGTGGGACACTCCCATCCTTTCAAAATTCTAGTCAACTCCTCCAGGTTCCAGCAGGACCCCACAATTGCTAGTGAGCAGCTTTTTGGACCATAGACCACCCACTGTGTTCTAATGCATCTCCTACATCCCAATGAGAAGAATGGAAGGAAACACCTGGAGTGGATAATGATGGTATAAATCTCATTAGGGTCATAAAAAAAAAAGAAAGTGACCCTCCCCTTTAGGGCATTTACCCCGTCACCCTGTTTCCGGTGTCATGGAGGGATCAAACAGAATCCTAATGTCCTGTAATTTCTTCCGTCACAAGGGTGATCCGTCTGGTAGTCACCCAAACAGGAACTGAGGAGATATCTCCCCCCAAGGGGACACGGGTCGCAATACAAACCTTTCGGAGGCTCTAACCCACAGGTGTCAAACTGGTGGCCCTCCAGCAGGGGCGGACTGACAACTCATGGGGCAACTGGGCAATAGGGGATCATGGGGCCCCTGTGTCCTTGCCCACACTCAAAGCACACCCAAAAAAGCATATAAAAAAGGTACCAGGTGCATTTCACGGGGCCCCCTACTGACCCCAGGTCCTCGGGTAGTGCCCGAGTGCTTGAATGGTTAGTCCGCCCCCTGCCCTCCAGCTCTTGCCAAACTACAAGTCCCACGAGGCATTGCAAGATTGACAGTTACAAGCATGAGTCCCAAAAGCAGAGGCATGATGGGACTTGTAGTTCACAACAGCTGGAGGGCAGCCAGTATGACACCCGTGCGTCTAACCCTTCCACGTTGGTTTTGGCCAATTTTTATATATTGACCCCCAATAATGAGGGGAGACTCACCAGGCCCCACCACAGGGCATCTGCGTAGGTATCAAACATGTCGCTGTTCTCCTCCTTCTCTGCCAGGTAGACCAGGAAGGACGCCAGGATGAGGCAGAGGAAGCCGATGTACCCAGGCTGTTATCAGTTCCTGCAGGAGAAAAGATTTACAAAGATCAGAGATTCTGCTCATCAGAGTGAAAAAGGACGCAAAGAGGACCAGTCCCGTATGAAGAAATACAATGAAGGGGAAAGCAGATGTTTCTCCTGCAGCCTCTTTGCAGCTACTTCTTGTATACATGCACCCCAGTGATGGCTGTATTGGTGACAACAGTGGATTATGCATGTGTAATGCGTGCTGAAATGGCCACCTATAGTCCCTGTGACAGGGTGACAACACAGGAGCACATTAGGTAGACACAGAAAAGTGGTCACCCTATGACAGGAAGGACCTTCATGGCAGGATCTCCAAGGAACATTTTTTAATGAAACCTGTAGAGAGGCTCACAGTGTGCAGTGAAATCAGAGCAACTCCTGTCCAGGAGAGGGCAGAGGAGGCCGGAGGGAGGATCGGACGCCCTTCTAAAGGTTACCTTGCTGTGAGCATACACGACGGATCCCAGTAGCTTCCACGTTCCTCCTCTCCGGTCCATACGGATCATGCGCAGGATCTGGAGGAACCTCAGACTCCTAAGGGCCGACGTAGCAAACACGTTCCCCTGGGATCCCGCCGACAGGACCGCTATGGAGGCGATCAACACCAAGATGTCTGCGGAGGGAAGGAGCGAGCAGGTGATGGGCGTGGACCTAAAGAACAAGCTCCACCCCCTATGTCACAGCTCCACCCCCTATGTCACAGCTCCACCCACTATGTCACAGCTCCACCCACTATGTCACATGGCATCACTTCCTAAAATAATGAGAACGAAGAGAGAAGGCCAATAAACTGGGAAAAGAGGATTTCACCTCTAACGTATTAAAAGACTGTAGATAGATACTAATGCCAGGAAAGCAAATAATGGGCTATTCACAGCATAGTAGTAAATCTCGCAGACTACTTGTGGTTGCATGCTCTAGTTGTGAAATGTTTAAGCGCAATAATTAGTATTTACCTAAATAGATTCTTGTTTTCATGTTCGACATAATAAAAAAGAAAATATAGCCTGCACACCTGCTGTGATCATGAGAGCCTCCAACCATCCCTGTGCTGAGTTCCCATATCTGTGCACCTGCTGTGTCCATTATGAGGGGTTCCCACCATCCCTGTGCTGAGTTCCCAGGTCTGTATCCCCGCTGTGCCCATTATGAGGGGTTCCCACCATCCCTGTGCTGAGTTCCCGGGTCTGTACACCCGCTGTGCCCATTATGAGGGGTTCCCACCATCCCTGTGCTGAGTTCCCGGGTCTGTACACCTGCTGTGCCCATTATGAGGGGTTCCCACCATCCCTGTGCTGAGTTCCCGGGTCTGTACACCTGCTGTGCCCATTATGAGGGGTGTCCACCATCCCTGTGCTGAGTTCCTGGGTCTGTACCCCCGCTGTGCCCATTATGAGGGGTTCCCATCATCCCTGTGCCGAGTTCCCGAGTCTGTACACCTGCTGTGCCCATTATGAGGGGTTCTCATCAATCCTTTTTACTATGGAAGCTGTAATATGAGGTGTTGGGACACACAAAAGGGTGGGCAGGAACAGAGCCAGATTTTTGGCAGATCTCACTGCTGGGCAGTGTATAGGGGGTTAGGTTTTAGGAGGTTAGGGTCAGGGGTTTAGGGTCAGGGGGTCAGGTGCAGGAGGTTAGGTGGAGGTCAGGTGCAGGAGGTCAGGTGCAGGAGGTCAGGTGCAGGAGGTCAGGTGCAGGAGGTCAGGTGCAGGAGGTCAGGTGCAGGAGGTCAGGTGCAGGAGGTCAGGTGCAGGAGGTCAGGTGCAGGAGGTCAGGTGCAGGAGGTCAGGTGCAGGAGGTCAAGTGGAGGAGGTCAAGTGGAGGAGGTTAAGTGCAGGAGGTTAAGTGCAGGAGGTCAGGTGCAGGAGGTTAGGTTTAGATTATGTGTAGGAGGTTAGGTTTAGGAGGTTAGGTTTAGGAGGTTAGGTTTCAGGCTATACATTAAGGGTTTGTGTCATGGGGTTAGGTTAAGTGTTGAGGGTTCAGGTTGGGAGAGGGTGAAGTGTCAGTGTGTTGTCAGTGATACGTAGATACATTTAGAGGAGTAATTCTGTTGCCGCCTGGCATAGGACAATGACATCTTCCTGCAGATAAGGACACTTCATTCGCTTCATTTTCCTCACCAATAACACAAAACGGTTTACGGGCAAATTTCAGCCTCCCCCTCCATCCCCGGTAGCGGCAGCAGCAGCCAGCGGCCCAGATCCGCACAAAGTACTCCACGCCAAAGACCACAATGGTGACGATTTCCTGCGGGGGAGGAACGAAAATATAAGACAGGGTCACCTTCTAACATACAAACCAGATGAAGATTAAAAAAAAAAAACAGCTCAAAACCCAGTACAGACTCATTTATCTGATCACACAGCCAACTCGTTTCGGGGCCACAAGCTCCCCTTCATCAGGGATTTAAAAAGCTAATATGGACTCAAAGGAAACTAAAGTACAATGTGTATTGAGATGAATGGTGATGTTCAGAGGAGTGTGAACTCATGTCAGGAAGAGATCTCTGCCTGGGTAGAACTGTAAAGGAGACCTAGTTACTAAACATCGACGCATTTTGAGAATATAGACGACTAGTACTCAGCCCACCAGACGACTGTAGACCAGACGACTAGTACTCGGGACACCAGACTGTAGACGACTAGTACTCGGGCACCAGACTGTAGACGACTAGTACTCAGGACACCAGACTGTAGACGACTAGTACTCAGGACACCAGACTGTAGACGACTAGTACTCAGGACACCAGACTGTAGACGACTAGTACTCAGGACACCAGACTGTAGACGACTAGTACGACACCAGACTGTAGACGACTAGTACTCAGGACACCAGACTGTAGACGACTAGTACTCAGGACACCAGACTGTAGACGACTAGTACTCAGGACACCAGACTGTAGACGACTAGTACTCAGGACACCAGACTGTAGACGACTAGTACTCAGGACACCAGACTGTAGAGGACTAGTACTCAGGACACCAGACTGTAGAGGACTAGTACTCAGGACACCAGACTGTAGAGGACTAGTACTCGGGCCATCAGACTGTAGACGACTATCTAGCAGAGCAGGGACACACTAAGCTGGCTAAGCATTCTAGAACACACTACATAGAAGTCTGCGTCCCACAGAGCATGGACAACAGCTTGACATACCAGAATATAGAGGGCTCCTTCCGATTTCTCTTCATACTCTTTAATGGTGGAAAACACAGAGAGGACCAGACAGGAGAAGACCAGCAGGAACCTGGAATAAAAGGAAGATAATAGGACTTTAGTGCCATTCATTAAACCCGGTGTGTGGGTGAAGCAACCGCTGTTCTCCAGGGACACAGAAAAGACACACATTAATGCAGCCCTGTAATCATTGAAACCATGTTTTACTCAGGAAGTGTTATACCTGAATCTGATTTTGTATCAGCCTCTTGTAGTCCCTGTACAGCAGAGCTCGGACTGGAAGAAGCAGCACAAGGAGCCAATGAAGTGTGCTGCAATACTCATGTACTAACAAGCAACACAATGATGGCAGGAGAGAGCTCTCTCCCCGGACCCCGCGTTCACTATATCCGCTCTCCCAGGACCCCGCATTCACCATATCCGCTCTCCCCCGGACCCCGCATTCACCATATCCGCTCTCCCCGGACCCCGCATTCACCATATCCGCTCTCCCCGGACCCCGCATTCACCATATCCGCTCTCCCCCGGACCCCGCATTCACCATATCCGCTCTCCCCGGACCCCGCATTCACCATATCCGCTCTCCCCCCCGGACCCCCCGCATTCACCATATCCGCTCTCCCCGGACCCCGCATTCACCATATCCGCTCTCCCCGGACCCCGCATTCACCATATCCGCTCTCCCCCCGGACCCCGCATTCACCATATCCGCTCTCCCCGGACCCCGCATTCACCATATCCGCTCTCCCCGGACCCCGCATTCACCATATCCGCTCTCCCCGGACCCCGCATTCACCATATCCGCTCTCCCCGGACCCCGCATTCACCATATCCGCTCTCCCCGGACCCCGCATTCACCATATCCGCTCTCCCCGGACCCCGCATTCACTATATCCGCTCTCCCCGGACCCCGCATTCACTATATCCGCTCTCCCCGGACCCCGCATTCACTATATCCGGTCTCCCCGGACCCCGCATTCACTATATCCGGTCTCCCCGGACCCCGCATTCACTATATCCGGTCTCCCCGGACCCCGCATTCACTATATCCGGTCTCCCCGGACCCCGCATTCACTATATCCGTCTCCCCGGACCCTGCATTCACTATATCCGCTCCCCGGACCCTGCATTCACTATATCCACTCTCCCTGGACCCTGCATTCACTATATCCACTCTCCCCGACCCTGCATTCACTATATCCACTCTCCCTGGACCCTGCATTCACTATATCCACTCTCCCTGGACCCTGTATTCACTATATCCACTCTCCCCGGACCCTGTATTCACTATATCCACTCTCCCCGGACCCTGCATTCACTATATCTGCTCTCCCACTGGTTAAAGCTTGTAGGAGGAGTTTTCATTCTCCCCTGATTGTCCTATGAGGCTGCATAACCCCTGATCCTATGTTTGGACAGCGATTGGCCCTGTGCTGATCACATGCACTTTCCCAAAGAAAAGAAAAAGAACCTCTCTAGTAATATACACCAAACTGAGCATGTGCAGAGTGCCTTTTAGAGCTCTGTTCTATCAGCAGATAGATTGGGGAAATTAGAAGAAGGGGAGGATCAGAGGATCAGACAGGATCAAACAGTGCCGTTTACACAATGCAGGGGACGAACCCCTTAGGTTCCACAGTGAGCATAACAAGCATGCTTTAACACGACTTACAGCAAACCATTCATGGTGGGTAGAGGGGGCTACTTGCTATGCAGAAATGCAAATTGCCTGGCTGCTATGCAAAGCCATTGATTCAAAGCAAAATCTATCGTATAGAGGCTGCTAGCCACCTAAAAATGCACATTGCCTGGCTGCTATGCTGAAACACTGGCTTACAGCAAACCTTTCATGGTGGGTGGAGGGGGCTATTGGCTACATAGAAATGCAAACTGCCTGGCTGCTATGCTAAACCATTGATTCAAAGCAAAACCTATCAAGGAGAGACTGCTAGCCACCTAAAAATGCAAACTTCCTGGCTGCTATGCTGAAACACTGACTCAAAGCAAACCTGTATCAAGTCCTGTCTACACGTGTTCGGGGTCAGCGACTCAAAATACTGAAGCGGCAGGGTGAGCAGGACAGCCAGTCATGTAGGATTTTCAGGGGAGCTCAGCAATGGCAGCCTGTGTGTCCTCCTTTAATCACAAGTCTAAATGAGACATATGGGGACACAATAGACATCTCCTTGTCCGTGGTGCTGGAGGGATCCTTGTTTGACTTCCTCGTCTTCATGAACGAAGCGCCACCCCGCGCCCATCGCTCCCTCCTATAGGAACACGATCTGTGAGCGATGCTTGGCCTCCTACGTGACCGTCATCGGTCCCTGACACCTCCAGGACTGACAGGCTGAGGAAGCTGATAATTGCAGAGGAGGTCTGATGGACGGATCTCAGGAGATCAGCACTATAGGATGGGGTGGGGGGGGGTATTCTCTGGACACCCGGAGGGTCTCAAATTTAACAAAGTGCTTCTCTCCAGTCAATAAAGTCACTTCAGCATTTTCTCCCGGCCTTTCCACCATCAGCACCTTTCTTAAAGGAACACTCCACCCTTAAAGCCTGACCTTGCAGATGTGGAATCACAGCGTGTAGGAGATAGGAAATCTCACCAGGAAAGTCAATGGCTTTAGTCCCTTTACATAAAATATTGGTTTCGCTTTTTACTTTTTTTTTTTGTTAATCTTTCTTCCCGTATCAGTACTGCTGATGTCCTTCAACCAATTCCAGTCTCCCTGTGCTCGCTCCATCATTTCTCCGGACTGGCTTCCCGATGGTGGCAATGGTGGACCACTCCTGTGTCAACACGGCCACTTGTAGTCGCCACCAGGTGCTCACGTGGCAGGGTGACAACGCAGGAGCACAAATGCAAGATTGTGGTCACTCCTTAACCACTTCCAGTCCAGACACTTTCCCCCCCTTCCAGTCCGGACACTTTCCCCCCCTTCCAGTCCGGACACTTTCCCCCCCTTCCAGTCCGGACACTTTCCCCCCCTTCCAGTCCGGACACTTTCCCCCCCTTCCAGTCCGGACACTTTCCCCCCCTTCCAGTCCGGACACTTTCCCCCCCTTCCAGTCCGGACACTTTCACCCCCTTCCAGTCCGGACACTTTCCCCCCCTTCCAGTCCGCACACTTTCCCCCCCCCTTCCAGTCCGGACGCTTTCACCCCTTCCAGTCCGGACGCTTTCACCCCCTTCCAGTCCGGACGCTTTCCCCCCTTTCCAGTCCGGACACTTTCACCCCCTTCCAGTCCAGACACTTTCCCCCCTTTCCAGTCCAGACACTTTCCCCCCTTTCCAGTCCGGACACTTTCCCCCCTTTCCAGTCCAGACACTTCCCCCCCCCTCTTCCAGTCCGGAACACTTTCCCCCCTTTTCAGTCCAGACACTTCCCCCCCCCCCTTCCAGTCCAGACACTTTCCCCCCCCCCTTTCCAGTGCGGACACTTTCCCCCCCTTCCAGTGCGGACACTTTCACCCTCTTCCTGCCTAGGCCAATTTTCAGCTTTCAGCGCTATCACACTTTGAATGACAATTGCGCGGTCATGCAACACTGTACCCATAGGAATTTTGTAGCATTTTTTTGAGACAGATAAATCTTTATTTTGGTGGTATTTATTCACTGCTGGGATTTTTATTTTTTTTGCTATGTAAATGAAAAAGTCCAAACATTTAGAAAAAAAATAAATAAAAAAATAAAATTTTGCAAGTAAATAATATGTCATCATAAATCTTGGCCAAAATTTATTCCGTTATCTTTTTAGTACAAAAAAAAAAAAAAAAAAAAAAATTAGTTTATAACCAAAATTATAATTTTTAAACATTTTTATATTTTTTTTTTTTTTTTTTACATACAGTCACCCTAGCAGTACAGTGTCACCATGGTGACACTGTACTACTTGTGGGGGGTGATGAAGATTTTTTTTTTTTTTTTTTTTTACACTGATTGCGTTTACACCCATAAGGGTTGTAAAAGGAATCATTTCTCCTCTCTGGCTGCATTCTTGCAGCCATTGAGAACTACTGTGTGCGCTGTGATTGGTCACAGCTTGTCACATGGTACAAGGCTGTTGCGAATAGCCCTGTACCATGTGACCTCTGTGATCATTCACAGATTTCACACGTAGTAAGCAGTGATGTCAGAAGTGACATCTTGCTTACTACTCTGCATGTGATTACTGATTGGCCAATCAGTGATCACATGATCAGGACCCCACACAGAGGTCCTGTACGACGATTGGTGTTCCACTGTGTCTGGAGGACACAGCGGGCACCAGATCGCAGTGCTGCGCGCTCCCAGGGAGTGCGCACAAGCAGGGGGCATGGAGGCCATTTATAAACGGCCACCCGACCCTGCACTGCCACCGTCTGGCCATTTATATACAACGGCCGGATGGGAGGTGGTTAACAGGAAGGACCTTCGTGGCAGGATAAAAGAAATTTAATCTCCAAACACGGAAAGGTTTCTTTACAGTGAGAGCTGTGAGAATGTGGAATAGACTCCCTTCAGAGTTGGTTGTGGCCAGCTCAGTGGATTGCTGTAGGAAAGTTCTGGATTGTTTCTTGGATACACAGTTTATAACTGGATATAACATTTATAGGTAAAGTTGATTCAGGGAATATCCGATTGCCTCTCGGGAAGGATTTTTTTTCCCAGCAGCTCAATCCGCAGATCTGATTCATTCTGCGGGGATCGTCGGAGGGGGTGTCACCAAGTGTTACCGCACCGGGTGACACCAACCCTAGGGAAGCCTCTGCAGTACAGTGATGAGTGTTGTCACTCCAGGACAGGAAGTTTGTTATTGGCAGGATCACCAGATGAAGATAAAGGGAAAAAGACCGAAAAAAAAGAAAACTAATGCAGCCATCATATCACTGCAATATATTACAACTGAGATCTTGCGGAGTGGTCAGCAGTCACCCTATAGGCACCCTTACCCCGAGGTTAGCGAGCATCTAGCACACACCTATACACACAGTGCACCCGCCTCCCAAGGCTCCAGACCCGTTCTAATGAATTAACCAGCAACAATTACAAGATGCAATCTGTCTACGACTAGAACGATTTGATAA